TTTTATTTGAAATGTTAATGTTTTCCATTAAAACCTTAATGCGTTTTTATTCTGAAAGAAGAGTAAGGGCGCCGGTTGCCGCGGGGTATCATTACCCGGGCTTGTACCTCGTTAGCGCAACACACCTGGTTCCTAACTCAATCTAAACTATGCACACCTGGCTCCTAACTCTATCTTACTCTTAAACTATAGTTACGTTGTACTTATTATGCCAACAAAATGCCGCATCGACTATAATTTAACGCTGACAAGGGTACGTTACAGTTTTAGGTTACACATCTAATTAATGTAGTGTGACCATGAGTTTCTGGTGGAACACGTAATAATAAATATTGTTTATGTTTTGTTTAACCAACGACAAATTATGTTTTATGTGAGTTCTTTACGCGGTCGTTGATGTCTTTCTTTTTAAAATTCAACGGAATATATGTCAACGTAAATCTGGAAATAATATTTCGTGAAATAAAACACTCATGTGTGAAGTATCCTGTCAATCTGTTAAACCTCGACCGCATACAATAAAATATTTATTTTCAGAAACAAAACCTTTGGAAATGTATGTTGTATTCTCGTTTCATGTACCGTTCTATTGGAGATAAATAAATGTTTTAACACTTCCGTTAACATTATAATAAATTTCTTGAACAGCTTTATAGCATCTTGTACGACTATTATAGATTAAAAAAAAATTGTCGCTACAGAGAAAAATCTCCAAAATATAAAATCTGTTTATTATCCTTCAATACCCAATAGAGGACTTTAATTTTTTTATCCCTCCTATTTATTTTTTTCCAATACTCTCAACGTAACATATAACACTGCTAAAGTATGTAACCCCACTTTTACGTCTCGTCACCTTTGCGCACTGTTTTACCAAGCTTATTGAACTTCCGCTATTCTACGAAGATATCTCTTACATTATTCATTGGGATTGCCTCCACAGTGTCTAGTAATATGCGAAAAGCGTAGCGACAATGTCGCCTGTACTTTAGTGCAAGATTTGTTTTGTTGTATTTTACTTTAGTATATAAAAATAGATTTTATATCTGTCGCGTATCCTAAAACCCTTATTTATTTATTTTGAAATTACTAATTGATAAGGTTTGGGTGGTTGAGCGAAACTATAGATTGGCTGAACGGAATCGGATAGAATTTAAACAGAGATAGTTTACAGTCTGGTATCATGCAAGGTAATTGAAAATATACGAAATAAAAGCGGCATATACCGTTGATCCTTATTAGATAAGGGGAAGGCGTAGCAAGTTTCCGTCTGTGTCGGGACGGGACTGCCATTGTTTATAGATCTATAAGATAGCAGCCTGCGCCTCTCCTTGCCTCTACTTTCACAATACCCTCGTTACCTCCAACAAGATTAATCGACGCTCATCTTATTTTTAATTAAAGATTCTTGATTACTTTGACGCATCCAGATAAAGATATCTTTTTAAAAATGTTTTTAAATCAAATTTATAAAACTTACAAGATAGTAATAGAACGAGAAATTCAGTAGTTTTAAACTAAGTCATATACAGTGAAAGATTTTTACCAACGTAAGTGTTTTTAAGTTGCTGTTGCGCACGCCTTTGTTAGAATCGAGTTAAAAAAATAACCAAAGTTACTCATCGTATACAACAGCTGTTTTCTAGGAAAAAATCCGTCGAAATCAGTCCAACTGTTTCTTATTTTCACTGAATAAATTTTAAATGTGAACAAAACAAATTTTGTCTTTTTCAAACAACGACCTATCCATCTATCATAAGGAGTGATAACATTCGACTTTCAAAACAATTCATATTACGTTTGTAAAGTCACAACTGTATTGAACGAAAGGTTCTCACGCTTACAATATTTTGCTTTTAAAACGTCGCAAAGTTGAAGGCGGCTTTAGAAGAATTGATATTATCAGTATCTGAATGTGACATAGCATTTTTCATTTCGTTTGACAGGTCGATATTATTGTGAATAGCAGACTGCTAGGATATTGAATAAAAGAATTCCTTTTCAAACAATGAATGTTGTATCAGTAAACGATGCGACAAGAAAATAATGACGTTAACTTAAAGCTTATTTAGTTTGTCTATTTTTGCTTACGAAACAAATTCATTAATGTGCAGTAAATAATTAGACGTGCAATGGAGCAAATCATAAAGACGGTTTTTTTTTTTATAGTATAAGGTTGGCAAACGAGCGGCCACCTAAATCCACCAAAATGGAAAGCGACCGCTGCCCATAAACATCCGCAATTGCAGACGCGTTGCCTACCCTTAATTGACGGTGAAGGAGACGCACGAGAAGAGGACATTTCCCCTTCCTATGCGTCTCCTCCACCGTCAAATCCACTTTTCCTTCCCATCCTTTCCTTTTAAGAAAAGGGTGTTTTTTTTTCCTTTCCTTTTAAGAAATTAGGCCTCCGGCCTCGGGGATTGAATTGTGTTTTATGGAATGGCGTCTCGATACAATTCCAACTAATTAATAAGATCTATATTAGATGGGTAATCTGTTAAAAGTGAAGAGGGTCCGCCTCGTCGGAGCGAGTCTAAGCTGTCACTAAGCCCATCGCAGATGCGACGCCGGGAATAATCACGACGATAACTGACGTAGGGTTAACGCACTTAGGACATGCCCTCGTTCCCATAACGATCTCCTATTATTCAACTCGACCTGATTTGAGAATGCCACTAATGTTCTATTTTTAAATTATTATGTATAGAAAAAATAAATAATTTCATAGTTACCAATTGTTCTCCATCCATGCCTAAAAGGGAATCCTTTGCAGACTTCATAGGATATGAAATTTTCGCAACTCAAGGTCACGCTACTTCGTCTAAGCGGTGTCCATTCTAGTGTTATTCAGAACTGTTTGACTGTCTCAATGAACATGATTTTTACCTTCTAATACATTATGGTCACTGAAGTTTTGTTCTGAGATACTATGGAACACAAAAAAATAAAATCTTAAATTATACTGTAGCAAAAAAAATATCGCAGCTCCATGTTATTTTTACAGATATAATTTAAAAGCAATTGAACAGTTTTTTGATGTTTTCGTGAAAGTTCCCGACTCGTTGCCAATACGTTACGTCCCGAATGCGATCTATAAATATGTCAGGAGTGATGCGTTATGTATGTGTTGACATTAATGGACAGTTTATCATTTATCTTTGATGTAGAATATATCTCAAGGTAACGCAGTGAACGCACCGCGCCCACACACCTGACAAGCTTTTCTTTATATAATGTTCGTAAATCGTCTTTACTTTAAGGAAGAAATTACCTGGAATTCTAATAGAAATCTATTAGAATTCCAGGTGTAGGTCTATGTAGTTTTTAAATTTGCGGCGAACGGTTCTTCCGAACGGAAATTGATTTTCTTGAATTGATTTCACAAAGCTATTTATTTTTATCACTGTTTGGAAATATGTTGCCAGATTCCAAGATATTTATAATATTATATCATACTTTATATAATAATATCATACTTTGCAAGGTTTCCTAAATATGTACTAATAAATTTGAATACAGACTTTGAGTTTATCGTATTTACATTTATAAAGTTAAAATAAAATTCGAAACAAACTGGGACGAGCTTGTTAGTTGACTTTGAGAGCGTAGCGTAACTAATACGATTTGAAATCCAGACTACGGAATTTCAAAAACATTTTCTTGTTGCGTGTATCGGAAGAGCTTTGAAAACTAAATCGGAAACATGCGCTGATGAGGGCGTAATAAAATTTAACGTGATAGACTTTCGTAAAAAGTAAATCTAATACAATTTTAATGATACTTGTAAAGTAATTTATAATTAACGATGTTATTATGATATGAGAATACACCAAGTTAGTTTGCCGTTATTAAGTTATTAAGTACGTAATTAGTTCAACAAACAAGCAAGTCAAACGCAGAGAAACTAAGATATCGAATAAGATGAAATATAACTGCTTGATAACGGTTAATTGTGGAATAAATCTACACCAGCCGAGATGAGAAAAAATAATTCAGTTTCTTTGGATATTAATGTTAAAAGATAATGTTTTTAGTCGTTTATAAGTTACATAAGACCTTACGGCCTCATGGAACATAAAATTCAATTTGAGTTTAAAAATAAGGTAAAACCACGTTAAAAATTTATACAAAATTAGTGTGTTAAATACCTTTGGAAGCCTTATTGCACGATTTAGGCCATTAGCGCAAGCCGGCGTCAGGTTTTTTGTTATTGTTTTCTATAAATGGTGACCACTTTTACAGTTGAAGCGTGTTCCAGTTTTGAGTTGTAAGATTATTTTAAGAACGCTGATTTTAACTAAACAAAAGTGATTGTTTAAATTAAATTTTGTGCAAGTTTATGCTAAGACGTTGTTACTTGGTAAAAAACTAAGAAAAACTACGCATTTTTTATTAAAAACATTGTTGACTACAATATTGCATATTAAACTGCGGCATGCTAAACGAACTAATTTACGTTCTTTATAACAAATGTTGGTCTTATTATTCCACAGTATGGTGATGTGAAGATAAATTACATACATTTTATCATTCTGGATACTATAATAGTATATTAAATCTCTTGTTTCCTCTAAAACATTCTTGGCTATAATTCAACAGTCTTCACAGAGTGCGCCGGGAAAGAGCTATATATTTTACCAAAACCGCTGTACGTTGCCACATCGATCATTCTAGTAAATATATTAAACGAAAATATTTTTTGTCTTCTATGAAAGTTGGTTTAACGTTGACTAGAAACAAGGGCTTTTGAATCGATACGTATTTGATTGAACCGTTATATGTTTAGAAATTTAATTACACCAAATAACTTACAAATTAAGAAATAAACTGAGACTCAAAATTAGGATTTGATTTAAACGTGTACAATTATCCCGCGACTTCGTCCGTATAGAGTTAAAAAGTTCAAAACTAACTTTTTCTCTTTGTTTATGACGTAAACCGCTTAGCTAACTAATTAATTATAAATGTGACGTAATGATACAACAATTAGTGATTACCAAAGTAAACAAAGTCACATTAGTCAGAGGGCGCGGTTGTGCTTCGTATTAGCATGCGGAGTGGAGCGCCGCTGTCGCCTGCACTCGACCGTTCTGCGAACAAAAGAATGAATACATATACACCAGCTCGCGAATGCTCTTTCTTCCTTTTCATAGCCCATACAAAACTGTATTCACGACCTCTCAAACTTCAACTCGATGAATACATCTTCATCTAAAAGCCTCAAGGTTCTCAGGTGTTATAGCCCTAATGAAAATGTTTCTATATGCATGAGTTTTAAGGTTATGTTGTCACGCTCATACGAATGTTATCAGAGTCATTGTTAATAAATTTCTGGAAACTTGCAGTGGTAAAGCATTGCATATGCAAGAATTAAAGATACTTTTAATCACAAGTCTTAAAGAATACATCATAAATAATAAGGGTTTATGGAGCTTAAATAAGTAGCGAGATGAACTAACTTAAATGTCACGTAAAGTTGAATCTGCATGTTTAACTCTTGCCAACTTAAAACTTCAGTCGCACTTCTTCAGGAAAATCAGGAATGTTTTATGTGTGCCATATTTTGTTAGATAATTTCATTATATTATTATTATGCATTAGGCATAAAACAATCCTAAAATTGTAACATAATAAACTTTGATAATTTAAGGTTTTACTCACAAAGTTATGCTACCAAACTTGAGTTCACCGTGTGAAGCTGGCTCTTTAAAATTACGTTAAATTACGAACAAACTCATAATTAAACTCAATGTGTTCGAGCCTGCGTAATTGTGCCGTAAGTCTTGTGACAGGCGCGTCAAGAGTAATCATAAGGATAGCAGGCGTACCTTGCGAAGACGTCGGGACGCGGCCTTGCCCTACTGACTGGCTATATTTAGCCCGACCTCTCCCCGCCCCTCGCGCATCGCAACAATTCCCCTCGCCGATGTCGCTATTTACAGAACTCCTTCAGTATTTTTATATCATTCGCAATTTTATAAAAAATCTAACCTTTGCACATTGTTGCATAAATTGGTAAATATGTAACAAAGGCTCTATGTTTTTGGTTCTTATAAATAAAAGAGCTAATATGACACTAATATAAACTACTTTTAAATGTCATTTTAATATTTCAGATATATTAGATTCCGCTTACACATTTTTAACAATTAAAAACGTATTATTGAACTTTTATATAATTTTTTTAATATTTCAAACCATCTCTTTGCTTATCTATTATAAGCATTAAATTTTAATGAGACCGCTAAGAAAGTTTAAATTAGAAAAGAATAAACACAGCATTTCTGCGTAGTCGGGCTTCTGACTTTGTCTCAGCAATTGAAATAAAGAAAAAGGCGTAGACGCGGCATTATGCAAAGCTTTCATTGTCCTTTAAGTAACAAAGGTAGCGAAATAGTGGAAATAATTGCTTGTTTGTAGAGCTAGAGTGTTTTAGAGAAAATAATGTTTGAAAACAAATTTTCGACGACTATTTTAAAGGTAATTGTAGATGTTAACAATAGCTTTTGATTTTTGTTTGCGACTTTTTCGCAGTAAGAAAGTTTTGTAATAAAATCCACATTTAAAACGCTTTTATTATTACCCGACTTTCCAAAAGAAAAAGGTTATTAATTCGTTAGTATTGTTTTTACTTATTTTGTTTATTTGCGTCGAATTTAATTGCAATTAGAGCGACTTTCCATTGATAAAATTTGCTAAACATTTACAGTTCAGATCACAAAACATTAATATACGAGAAAAAAAGTTTAGTATTTTTTTAACAAATCTTTGTCTCAAATTTTATGATATGTGTGATATTTATCATTTTATCATAAATATGTAACGTCAACAGGCGATGGCATCATAAAGCACAGTCGACGCCAGATCGTATAAATATCGCGAGCTTTGCCAATATGACCACGCCACGCTAATGGACCAATATTTCATCGAGTATTTATTGATACTCGTTAATATGTACAAAATTATTATGCTTCTGTATTTGTTACGGTTTTATTCGTTTACAAATTATATTGTTAAGCAATCATACAATACAATCATAAATAGATTCGAACTTTATACTATTTGTAAATTTGTCTCGTCCACTTCTCAGTAAATAATTCTTTTAAGAATGTAATATGCCTTTCTTGTACGAAATGTTAAGAATAATAAAATCTAAATAGAAGCTTTAAAACAACTTCATTCATTACAATCGTTGATTTAAGCCGGCTGAGCTCTGAAATATAATTTGCAAATTTAATTCTGCGAACGTTGTTTAAATTAGCATATCTCACTGGATAGTTGTGGCGAATACAGCTTGAAATTACAGAGAAAATTAATTCAATAACGAAGGTAATGCAAATGTGTATAATGAGCTTAAAATTGAAACAACCGCATCATCCGCAGCAATTATTTATGTTCGCAAGACCACAACGCATTCGAAGCATTAAATGTAAACATTTATTTATATATATACACTGTAACTTTTAATAAAGAATTAAGTGAAAAATATCTTACTATTATTAGGTTCTTTTGAGCAAATGTCTTAGTTATAATATATTTCTTTCTTAAGTCAATTACATTTTATACTAATCAAAGCGAAATACAAAAATGTAAACTTACAGAATTCTTTTGACGACTACTTTTTAACAGACTACAAAAAAGATATTAAGATCTTTAATGAAGTAGAATATTGTACATTTTCTATACGAAAGTTATATTAATTAGAATTTTCAATTTATGATCACAAGGCTTCGGACCGCACAACAAATGCAGTAGTAATTGAAGTGACCACGAAGACAGCGTTCACCACTCCGTAACTCGGTACTAACTAATTTACAACCACTCTGAACCGTATAGGTTTCTAAGTGTCCATTACAGTCGAATTCTATTAACCATCAACTTCCATAACATTTGCAACTGACGTATTCAGTTACAAATGTGGTGAAGTTACGAATGTATACCAATATAAAAAAAATATTACGTCGGCTTATCAATTATATGACATCCTCAATAACTATGAAATAGAATTATAACAGTAGTATTTGAATGGTTTTAGTTTTAGTTCTCACACGCCACATAAATGTAACGCACTCTTTTACGTAGAAATTTTAATTATTAATCAATTACATACCGTGAAAGTTTTGTCGCATTTCAATTATAATCAAATCTTATCTGTAAAGGTTATTGCAAGTTCTTAAAAGAATTGAGTTTTAAACGTCGCAGATTAAAAACTGTAACAAATTACGTTCCCTTCGCTGATTCCTTTTCTGTACTTTTTCACGAAGATAAATTTAAAATAAAACAGCCGCATGAACACTGTTTCTCTCTGTACGAAAAACAAAAACACGGTTTTCGTTTCCAGTGAAACATTTACAATTTCGTCTAAAACATTTTTAACAAGCGCTTTAAAAGCAATAACTGCGAAACGATCGGTCCGGTTTTGTTTTTGTAACGAGCGATTTTATATAGACATAAACGTAAACTTCGTTTTAGATTGCGGATTTCATTGCGTTTGCCTTGTTTTCGCATATCAGAATTATTACACTGTTGTGTCGAACATTGTCCGATACATGTTAATTTAATAGCGTAAAGTTGAGGAAAATGCTCTTGTTATTTAAAGTTTTATTATAAAAAGTGTCATGGAACAAAAATACAGGAAACAGAAATGATATAGTAAAAACAGTGGAAAAAAATAGGTTCAAGTAAAGTCCAGTTTTAATATAACTGAAATGTAACTTTGTGTACGCTCGTAACGGAAGAGGGCAGCCGCAGAAAGTTTCATTTACCAGCTTTCTATATTAGAAGCTCGAGCCTTGCACCATTAAAACAAAGTTTGCATCCGTACTTACAGTCGGATTTAGTGTTTATTGCTATTGTTTTAAATGCTTATTAAATATAATACTTCTTAAATTAAAGTTTTTGTACTAATAAACATTACTCAAAAAGAATCAAAAGCTATTGGAATGTAACTATGACATTTTATATTTACTTGAATTCCTTTGAGACAACTTTGTCATCTTTATTTCTTACATTTTACACCCGAAGACTCCAATTAAGGTAATTAACAGTCTCTATCTTCAAGAAATTAAACTTACTTAATTTCTAAATGCTTTATAGCGCTCTGCAACTTTACAATGCTCTTGGGTGATTTTTAAAAAATTGTTTCATTTGCATCTTAAATGGTCCGGACTAAAAAAGAAGTTTTCCGATACGACACAGCCATTTGGTATGTTTGTGGTCCACACATCACGTGTGGAGCTTTTTATTTACATTGGAACAAAAAAAAATTTGCTATTTAAAAATATTACCTGTAATTCTTTTAACTTTCCGCTAACGTCGAAAATAGGTTCCAAAACATTTGAGAACATTTTTTTTCTATCGTTTGGCTGTTGAGTCAGGCTTTATTTTCCGACTGTCGACAATTTCGGTGACGCAGAGCACAATAAAATTCACACCTAAAAAAAATATTCCATTGTCTATGTACTCAACATTTCGTGTTCTTCGCCTAAAGCATACAAAACGTTAGCATGTGTTTAAAAAAATGTTCGAGTTAAATCTATGAGAAATTTTAAAAATTTTCTACAATATTTGCACCAGAATTAGTCACATAGAAATATTAACCACGCTAATGTCTCTTTAATTTTACAATTATGTTTTTAATCACTGAAATTAAAATATTCTCTTCATATCATGAGTTCGAAAACAGTATCATTTACCCTATCACAAGTCACGTGCTAGCAATATGTCACAGGGCGGTCGCAATCCGCTCGAAGCCTCCGGGAATTATAACGAGGACGTTTAATATTAACACTAATCCCACCGTACTCAAGCAATTATCCTACACATTGACAATTTGAGATTCCTTTACTCTTTAATCAATAACATCTATCGATTAGTTTAGTAATAATTATTGATGCATAATAAATTGGCGATTTTTTTTTTATATTATAAGGTGGCAAACGAGCAAGCGGCCATCTGTATCCATTCCTGATATTTCCTCTTCCTATGCGTCTCCTCCACCGTCAAGTCCACGTTCTCTTCCTGTCCTTTTCTTATTAAAAAAAGAGCGAGAAGGAAAAGGGATTAAAGTTGGGCCTCCGGCACCACTCGTCAGACGAAACGCGGAAATGCTCCCACTTCACCCCTGTTTTCTTTATGGTCATGGTATCACACTGGGCGAGACGGCCCATTCGTGCAAAGTTCATTGTTGATAAATGTTTTGACGGTGTAAGAAAATACAATTAATAAATTTAAATGACTACTTTTTATTCCGAGTAAACCAATCGTTTTCAACTTTCCAAGAATCTAGATTCTATAATACATCTTTACAATAGTTCATTTAAAATACAATTCTGTAATAAACGATATCTTATTGACTTTAAGAAAAGTTTAATCTTTCTCTGTTTATAGATATCGATTACTTTAAATGGTTCTATCAAGACAAATGGAATGAATGAATACCGACGACATTATAAAAGTTGTTTTATTTAAATGGATGTTGGTGTAACGTTACGTTTGCGAAAATGTCATGACATTTGAACCAATTAAGATTGAATGAGAAAAAAAGAAACAAACGTTTGAAGTAAACCTTGACTTCTACTCTGTACATACTGTAAAAGGTTTTTTTTATATAGTTCCGCTATTGCATAGCCTATGCTCTTAATTAAGAAAACCTAATTACATCTTACTAATATTATAAATGCGAAAGTTTAGATGCATGGATAGATGTTTGTTAGACTTTATAGCCTAAACTGCTGAATGAATCTCGATAAAATTTGGCAAAGATGTTTTTTTTTAATACCATGCG